GCTGAGCCACTAGGTCTGGTTTAGGCTTCTGAAACCTCCAAGCCCACCCCTCAGTGACGCACTTCCTCCAACAAGGCCACACCATTAAGGCTTACACCTCCTAATCCTTCTAAGTTAGGCCACTTGCTGATGACTAAGCATTAAAATACGTGAATCTATGGGGTCATGGGACTCTTCTTATTCAAACTACCGCACAAGCTGAGGCAGGAGCTTGGCTGCAGTTCTTTTGAAAGGAGTAAGAGCCACAGTCGCTCCAGCAGCAGACTCTGCCTTGCCTGGATCCCTGGAGGAGCTGGTCCTCTCAGCTCCCCGAGGTTCTGTATTTACATCCCGGACCTACAGAGCAATTGGACCTTCTTGACTTAGTTTTCCCTAAGCAGATGCTGGGGGGAAACCTGTCTCTAGGATGCATGCTTTCATTCTCCCCAGTGATGAGATTCCTTCCAACCTCATTTTGGCTGATTCCCTTATGACAGCATAAGCAACCGTCTCAGTGAGAAGCCTGGCCTATTGAGCAATGACCCTCCCGGGAATGTCTTCCACTTCCTCATTCTCCTCCCTTAGGAGTGTGCTCTGGTGCAGAGCTCTGACCCTGAGCACAGCTCTGACTTCCAAGGTCTGGAGAACCTTCACTAAAGGAGTTGCCCCATCCAGAAGTTCCTTGCCTGACCATGCCTTACTCCAGGTGGTAGGAGAGTTGTGGCTTTGTTTTTGTCTTTTGTTTTTTGTTTTGTTTTGACACTTTCTTGCAAAGAAAAATCTTCATCCACAAACTACATTCTCTCATTCTTACACAAACTTGTTTGGGGACAAAATATAAAATCACACCTAAGAAAGTAACTCAGTTTGTTTAAAAGCGTTGCTAGTTCTTCCTAAACTGCACACTGTGAACGTTGCATAGGTGTGTCACACCACCTGTGAAGAGTGTTTAACGGAATGAAGGCTGAAAAAGATGTTGGGAGTTGGTGGTCACGGCCAAAAGGTCCCTGAAACATGCAAAAACTGTTCCTCAGAATTCTTGCAGAAGCAGATATATTCATAAGAATAAAAAACCAGAGGGAAAATGAGACAAGGGCTTTAAGAAGTTTGAGAAGCAAGACAGCTGCCGTGGGGACACCGGCAACTCTAACAGACACCAAGGAAACAGAATCCCAGAGAAGCAGGGAATTGGTGACAATCTCAGGTAGTCTCAGGCTCTGAGACTACAACAGATAGTGACTCAGAATGAGTTGGGGCCAAGAAATGTTGCAATAAACTCCAATCTGAGAACAGAGGGTGAGGGTCTCCTTGGGTGATACAGCTCACTCAGATGTTTTGCTAAAAGTAATTTCATGGAAAGAAATGCAATTAAATTGGAGATTTGCGCAAGAGCTCATAGACTCTTAGAGAAAAATATAAGAACAGCCGACAACATGACTGTATTTCAAGGTTAAACACAGGAAAATCGCAGTGTGGGAGCGACTGGGAGCCACGTAGGGAGCATGATGGCGGGTGTGTTTCCCAGAAGGGTGTGACAAAGCCACGGTGGCCACAGAGAAGAGGTTGGACGCGGGTTACCTGAGGACTAGGTTCTTCTGTTAGCCCTGACTTAATGTTTCAGCGAGACCCAAAACCATATCATAGGATAAATTCAGTTTCTGTTTGGAAGTAAGCCCATATCTGAACTTGCATGCCCTTAATTCCATGGGGTTATTTAAGTAGTTTTCACTTCTCCCTTAGCTGTGTGGCTCTTTGTGAAGAATTCCTATAAGAGGATTTCTACAGCTCAAACCACTCAGCTTGTTGCCCATTCTAGTTTGAACCAAGCAAGGTTCAGGGCAGGTCTGAGTGCAGGAGAGCCTTTGCCTCAAAGGGCTCAGTGTTGTTGAACGGAGACAGACCTACAAGGAGTAGGCATGTCATTTTACTATAGAAAATGTAGGATTGTGGAGTAGAGCTGTGGAGTCAGCTCTGCAGGTAAAGTACTTACCACATTTACAGGAGGACATGAGTTCAAACCCCAAGCACCCGCCTCAAGCCAGGCTCAGTAGTGTGTGACATAATTCCAGTGTTCTTGTGCCAAAATGAGCAGTAGAAACAGAAGAATCCATGGAACCTTAAGGCCAGCGAGCATAGTATGAAGAAGAACAAACTAGAGGTCCTGTCAATCATGTGGTTGGCAGAGTCCAAGACCCAAGATTGCCCGTTGACAGCAATGTGAACCCCACAAAAACACAAATGTTAAACACAGAGCTAAAAAAGGACTCTAGGACAAGACTGCTTGTGGAAGGAAATTGGTATCTGGAGCTGATGAGGCAGAAGGAAGTAGTAGGTCAGTGATGGACGGGATCTAGACCAGTGGTTCTCAACCTTCCCAGCGCTGTGACCTTCTAATACAATTGCTCCTGTTGTGATGACCCCCAACCACAAAGGTATCTTCCTTGCTACTTTATACCTGTCACTTTGCTACTGCTCTGAATCATAACGTAAATAACCGTGTTTTCCAAAGGTCTCAGGCAATCACTGTAAAAGGGTTCTTCATCCCCAAGGCTGTCCTGACCTGCAGGTTGAGAATCTCAGAGAAAGACAATGCCTAGATTGCTCTCGTGAGAAGTACTACGGAAGGAAGCAAGCAGGAGAAAGCCACTGAGCACATTCTTCACGAGTATGCCACCATGAGATACCACCAGTCAACCATGTTTGCTCCTAGTTTTAATTTTTAGTCCCTGAGCAAGGCTGCCCTGGACCTTCTCTCTGCTTTGCCCTGCTACTAAGTGCAACCACCTTAGCTCAGGTCTCGTCCTTGTGGACACGTCCTCCTGGCTTCATTTTGACTTACCTATAGCCCCAAAGGGCCTACTTCCAATTACCATAATCACAATGTTCCTGCCATCTTACTATTTTATAATGGGGGCCAAATTTCAACAGTAGTGTGACAGGTCTGTCTCCTCACCTTTTGATGTTCCCTAAACTGGCTATTAGGAAATACAAACGCTACTGTGAGCCAATGTACTCGTAAGCAGCCTTTCTAAGTCACTCTTCCTGCCTTGTAGCCCTAACTATTTTGGTAAGGAGACATTATAAAGTAGATGTCATGAGCACGGCCTCAGAAATCAGATGTGGTAAAACAAACCGTCACACATAGACCATTCTGCACGGTGACCCTGAACTTGTCACTTCATGCTATAGCTTGTTCCTCTATCTCCTCATCTTAGCCATTGTCCCCTCTGGACAAGATTTCAGATTTCACACGTCCAGAAGCCTTGACAATATCAAAACCTTAGCGGTATTACAAACACTGGTCTGTGGAACACTGTCCAAAAAGTGCCCCGTAACCAGACCACAGCAAGACTTCAGTAAAAGGATGGCTAGTTTTTCACCATGCTTAAGAACCCAGGAAGTAGTTGCTGGATCTCTAAGAAATCTAGAAAGACTTCCAATGTGCCCTTGAGCCCTGGAGCTAAAAGGCCAGGCTGGCTCCTCTATGTCCACTGTGCCCTCTGGCAGTAATGCTTCCTCCCTGTGGTTCCTGACACGTGACCCAAGACAATGCTGTTGCCATGGAGCCATCACTGAGCGGCTGGCCTCTAGCAAGACTTTTCAAAATAAAATCTATGGTAACTAAATGTTTAAATTCCCTGTCATTTCCAGTGCATTGCTTCTCGGGTCTCTAGACAGGCATTTTTTAGCCCCTAACATAGCCTGCTCTTCCCTGAGCCTTGCAATTACATAAAAAAATCTTCCTCCAATTACATAAAAAATTGTGAGACCATGGGCATTCTGACCATGGGCTTTTGACGTGGCTCATGCTTCTTCCGATACCGTGGAAGAGAGCAGTGGGGCCGTGGTGTGTGTTAGCAGGTTTGTCTTGGGAAAGTTGGCGGCAACAGGAGCATCTGGCATTTCCTTCCCCAAATCACCTTCACTGAGTGGCCGTTACACCTACGCCTCAGGAAGTTCTGCTCGCTTGGTTGTTTGGGGTTTTGACAGAATTGTACTAAAGGAAATTGTAGCATTATCTCATGATGACACTCTAGATCCAAACGTACTAAAATGTGCATCAAGATTCGGTGTCCCAAGGGAGAAGAGTGGCTTGCTGTGTCTCCTTAGGTCTCAGTGCACGAAGTCAGGGCCAAATTTGATTTTTGGTAGAAATCATTACCAATCTATTATAAAAAATGCTTTCTTTTGGCTTTGATTATTTCTCCTTTATCAAACTTTTGTTGTATGTCTTTTCTTTTTCATTGTTCCATTTTATTCAAAGAAGCATGCTGACTTTACCTGGGGAGATGTAGAGAGACCTCTATTCATCCCCAATACAGAGGCTCCCAACAGATCAAGGAAAGGGTTCTACCCAAATCAAATACAGTGAGCAGAGGAGTTTACTGGGCAGGCCTGAGGTCGGCCATACACTCAAGAGTACCAACCACAGAGAAGTGATTCAGGAGAAACCATAGCTCCCGAGCATCCTCTGGACAGCAGGAGGTGGCTACACTGAGGAGGAGTTTTCCTCCCCATGGGAGGGGACGGGCCTCCAGAGCTTCCAGAGTCCTGTGAGCCCTGCACCTCCGCACTTCCCCGATCCAGGAAAGAATGTTGATATACCTGCTCTCCGGAGGTCTCCTGAGAGTGAACACAGCTATCCTGGAGGAAGATGGCTCTGCTCAGGACCAGCCTAGAAGAAAGGGCTGCATGGCGAAGCCTGTGCACAATGTAAAGTAGGGGACTTCAAGAACGTGAAACGGTAGGGCTCCCCTTTACTCCTGTCGCAAGCCACTGAGATAGAGTCAGACACCCCCAAGACACTCCACCTTTCTTGGGCCCCAAACCCAGTCTCAATTGGCAATTGGAGTCATTGAGGAACAAACCTTCTTGTCTGGGGCAAGTACACAGAAAATAAAAACACTAAGTAGTCTATATTAAATTGCTAGAAGGCAAATAACATCAGAACAAGTAGAGAATAACATCTAAAATGAGCTAGTTATTAAACCATTTCGTCCTTTGTTCCTAATTATCCCAAGAAATGACTGAACCCTTGAAAATGTACACTGGAGAACGTGGACACTGTAAATCTTTATGGACAAGGAGAAAACGGGGTGTTTAGAGCGTGTGGCTGGTTTAAAGCTAATGCAAATACAGATTCAAGTTCCTGCCATTGCAATGCTATTAAAGCCACAAGAGCAACAAAGAGCTCTAACTTAGAACAATGCATCCTACTACGTCTCCAACCGCTCTGAAGCTGGATTCCTTCCCAGGCTCCCAGCCTCTCCACCTCCTTCCACAGGTATGTGTCCCCAGGAGCCTAGAGACACATTAACAGTCCCCAAACAGATGGGCTTCCCAGTTATGTGTTCTTCTCCACTTGGACAGGGAAAACACAGCTGCAGGGAGCAATTTTGTGTAAAAGATTTCCTAAATACTTTGCAGCTTTTCATTTGTAATTCAGCAGGGAGCTGGAACCAGAAACGCAGGTGGCCTGGCCCATTGAGTACGAACATCTCCAGTTTCAATTCCCTTTCCTTTAGTGGCATAGATGCACCTATTAGCAATTATTTCTGCTGCCAGGAACTAGGTACTACATCCATTTTGGACTTGACTTTCATTTGCCTCCTGTGTTAATCAGGGCTAGGCTGCATATAAAACCAGCATGCCCTAAACAATTCATTTCTGAGTCCCAAGGTCAAAGTGTGGGGGTATTCCAGGTGGAGTGGGCCTGGGGCTCGTTCCTGGGCTCCTGGGTTTTTTTTACCTGCTTCAGTCCTTGGAGGTTGAATGTCTGGGTCACACCTGTGGGTATTGCCTTTTATCCTGTTCTTGATAATGTCCCATAGACACATGGGGAGTTGGGTATGTGGTCTGGCTGAGTTCCTAAACCTGGGGTTGGGTCACCAGGATCACAATTTGTTGCCCTGGACATCCATTTTCAAGATAATTATTAGTAGTTCCCTTGTTTGTGTTCTGACTTGACTCCTTTCAGGAATTCACCCTGGACAGGAGCAAGCTGTTCCTTTAGACCTTTGATTGTCCTGACCTCCTTTCCAAAGCTCCTATCTTTCTTGACCCCTCTGTCATTCCCTCCATGCTTTGTGCCCCTCAGCAGCCATATCCAAGCTCAAGATGTCACCAGAGAAACCAGGGCTCTCCCTACTAGACTCAGGGGGGTGGGGCAACAACAAGGAGGAAGACTACAGAGAAAGAAAAGCGCTGATGCTCGACCCTACTGGGCTTAGGGAGGACGAGTTCTTGAAGCCTCCTGCCCAACGTCACAGGAGGAGCCAGATCCCAGCGCTGTTATTTCCACCTGTTCAGTGTTATACCCAGATCACGGAGTTCCCCCGAAAACCAACTAGGAGACCGAGTCCTGTATGTAAAAGCAAAGGGCCTTTATTCATACACAAGTTGTCAACTCAAACTCTCCATGTGTCCAATGCATTGGCACAATCAGAGAGCCCCGAGATCAATTGGGGTGGGGTTTTTATAGTAGTAAAGGCAGGGATGAGGGACTTCTAAAATTCAGGACCCCCTAATTGGCTGACATTTGTCTAGGGGTGTCCTGGTGAAAAGCAATGGGTGTGTGCTGGCAGGTGACTCTATCTACAATGGTTGTAATGTTAAGAATTTCCTTTGGATGGTCTGTTCCTGGGTGGTGCCTAGGTGGTCTCAGTTTGTGGTCTTTCTTGAAACCAGGTATATACCTTAGGGTAAACTACTGAGTCTCAGGCCTCTAATGAGCTTGTCATGGCTGGGTCCTACATTTAAGATACAGAAATCTAACATTTTAGGTGAAAAGTCTTCATTTGGAAATTAAGACACTAATTTAAGTATCTTTTGCCAATTTAGAAGGAAGTGCAAAATTTATTCAGGTCAAATTCAGCCAATAGATTAACATTTTGCAAACTTTACTTTCTCTTTCTCACCCTGAGAACCAGGGCAAGGATTTTGAAGAAACGAGAGCAGTGAGGCCAAGTGCCCCACTTGGACTGGAGGACGGCATCTCCTGCTTCCTCAAATGCCTTGTGTTTGGAGTTCAGGGTTGTTTGTCTCTGCCAAGATTAATAAAACTCAGCATTCTACACGTTCCGCACTTGGCTATTACTTTGCAAAAGCTAAAATTCCAGATGGAAGTAAGAGAGAAAAAAAAAAAAAAAAACATCAAAACCGAAAGAGATCTCTAAGCCAGAACCTTCAGGACACAGAAGCAATGCCCATGAAGAGCAAGACCTGGAATCCCAGTACTTGGGGGAGTAGGGCATGAAGATTTTGCACAAAACTGAGGGTACCCTAAGCCACAGAATGAGTTTGCACAAAACTGAGGGTACCCTAAGCCACAGAATGAGTTTCAGGGCAGCCTGGATTACAAAGTACAACCTTACCTCAGAACTCCACAAAAACAAAAAATCTAACCTTGTGCTATAAGGTAAAGATGATTATGATGATGATGATGATGATGATGTTAGTAATAATAAAGCACATATAGTCTCTACAAACAAGGACCAGGGCCAAATTCTGGATCTGCTACTTACTGTAGCAGGGATAGCCTGCCTCTGGTTGTGTGTGTGTGTGTGTGTGTGTGTGTGTGTGTGTGTGTGCATGTGTTCACAAATCAATGGAGGCTGTCTGTTCAGAATCTAAAGTGTATATATTAGAATATATTTGGGAATACATAATTTATAATGCTATGTTTCTGAAATATTTCTTTTCCTGTTCTGGAGGCTGCACTTCAGGCTCCATGTGTGCTAAGCAAATATTTTATTAGTGTACTATATTGCCAGCATCTCTAAAATATTATTTAAGAGATGGGGTGTAATTGGAGGCTGCTCATTCATTTGTCTGGCCTCCCAGACCCAAAATAATCACACTGAAACTATATTATTACAACACTCCTTGGCCTATTAGCTCACACTACTTATTGGTTAGCTCTTATATCTTAAATTAACCCATTTCTTTTATTTTAATATTTTATCATGAGGCTCGTGGTTTACAGATAAAGTTCGTGGATGTCTGTCTCCTCCGGCAACTACCTGGCTTCTCTCTGGCTCTGCCTACTCTCTCATCCTCTACCTGTTTGGAACTCCCACTTTGCCCTACTCTGCCCTGCAATAGGCCCAAAACAGCTTCTTTATTAACCAATGGCATTGACAGCATACAGAGGGGAATCCCACATCATATGGTGGATAATTGACAAGAGGAGGATGAAGAAAAGAAAAAGAATTGTGGTAAAAAATAGAATAAAAATATTACCTCAAGAAACTTAGAGCACAAAATGGCAAATAGTGGCGGGGGTGGATCAGATAAGTCTACTGGGTTCTTCAACAGTCGTTTGAGGAGGCTTTGGTGGAGAGAGCCCACTCCTCACTAAGTAACAAGACCAGATGCTATTGCTAGATTGGGTTTTGCTTGTGTGTTGTTTGCTCATTTGTCAACTTGACACAAGCTACAGTCATTTGTGAACAGGGAACCTCAGCTGAGAAAATGCACCCACCAGTTTGGACTGTGGGTAAGACTGTAGGGACATTTTCTTGATTAATGATTGATGTAGGAGGGCCCTGGATCACTGTGCATGGTGCCACCCACCCCTGGGCTTGTTATATAAGAAAGCAGGCTGAGCAAGCTATGAGGAGCAAGCCAGTGGGCAGCACTCCTCCATGGCCTCTGCATCAGATCTTGCTCTGGGTTCCTGCTCCGACTTCCTTCAGTGACTGATTGTGATGTGGAGCTATAGATGAAATAGACTTTCCTCCCCACGTTGTTTTTGATCATGGTGTTTTATCACAGCACTGGAAACACTAAGGCAGCTACAAATCCAAACTGACCTCTCTAGAGGTCCCACCTTACCAGCACATTGCTTCTTGCCTTGGAAAACACACCTCCCCTTCACAGCCTCGGGTACACTGTACACATTCCGTCATGGCTGTGGCATTATCTGTAATTATCTGTGTGAGCTTGCTGCCACATATGCAGAGCTTCTCCCGTTATCAACTTTTCCCATGAAAGGGTTGCATGAGTCAACATTTATGAACGCCATGGACATGGTGCTACTACCCACAGTTTACAGCTTACGTAAGGGCCCACTCTAGATGTAAATGCACCCCACAGATTGTAATGACATGTGTCTACCTGTATAATAGCCCTCAGGAGTGTTTTTAGTGCCTTAAATTCCGACGTGCTTCCTCATCTATGTAACCACTGATCTTCTCCTTTCTCCGCAGATCTATCTGTGTCTTGTAGTACAGACGGTATAACTAAGAGGTAGACAGACTTAGCGTGTTTGAGGTCCTAGGCTCAAGGTCCAGCGGCACAAACAAACAAACAAAAAACTGTGATGTAATTGGAGCCCTGAAGTAAGTCCCCTTTTCAGATCGGCCATTTTTTTTCATCTAGAAATAAACATTTAACTCAACTCCTGGTTCTGTGGCTTAAGAACTGACTTCTATCACTGAATAATAATCCATCATCTAGATATGCTGGCTTTCCCTTGACTGACTGAAAACTACATTGGTTCCTTTCAAGCTCTTGTAATTCCATATAAAGATGCAACTATTAAAATGTAAGTCATCTATTCGGATCCACTTAATTAGTCAGATTTTTGTTTTCTATAAATAAAGAGATAAGTAGCTTAAATTTCTGCATTTTTATAGAGGTTCTTGTCATTTTAGACATTTCATTAGGAAATCCAAAGTTCTAGTAACTTATTTACCAACCTGTAAGAACTGCAATAATCCCGCTACAACCCTCTACAGGTTAAAAATAAGTAAACAGAAATTTCCATAAACTTGATATGTTTAAAGCTGATTCTCATAAACTTTCCACCCTTTTTAAATTTAAAATAATGTTTAACTATTATATATCCTGATTGTAGTCTCTCCTTCCCATCTCTCTCCTCCCAGATTTTCTACCCCAACCCATCTAACTCCACTTCTCTCTCTCTCTCTCTCTCTCTCTCTCTCTCTCTCTCTCTCTCCTTAGAAAAGAAATGAGTAAATATTAAACAAACATGCAGGAAGGAAGGAAGGAAGGAAGAAAAAGGAAAAAGAAAAAGCAAAGAAACATATGCACAGAAACAAAATTCATGCAAATATGAAATCGGAAGCTGTAACATACAATGAAGACCAGTATGATTAAAGAATGACCAAACAAAGCAATAAAGGACAAACCATACACAAATACCATTGAGATTGTTTTGTGTTGGCCATCTGCCGCTGGCTGCAGGCCTACACTTGAATGCTATATCCAGTGAGACTCCACTGGAGAAAACAGAGCTAAATTTTCCTCTACAAGCAGTTGTCCATTGGAGATAGCTTCTCGGTTGGGGATGGGAGCTCGCGTCCACTTCTCCCCCTCAGCACTGGGACTACTTGTGGCTTGAATACTCGCAGGCCCTGTGTGTGCTGCCAGTCTTTGTGAGTTCCTCTGTGTGTCACTCCTGTTGGGGTGTGTCGGGAAGACACTGCTTGCTTAGTGTCATCCGTCCACTCTGGCTCTTAACCATCTTCTCGCCACCTCATCCACACAGCTCCCTGAGACCCGAGGGGAGGGGGTTGATCAAGACATCCCACTCAGGGCTAAGGTTCCAGCTTCTCTCACTCTCTGCACGTTATCCAGCTGTTGGTCTCTGTATTTGTTCCCATCCGCTGCAGAAGAAAACTTCTGGTGATGGCTGAGCAAGACGCTAATTTGTAGGCACAGATGAATGTTGCTAAATCTTGTTTTAATACTATGTTCCTTTAGCAGAATGATAGCATTTGGTTTTCCCCTAGGCACATGACCTATCTGGTCTTAGGTTCTTGACCACTGGAGCAGGCAGGCATGGGTTCTGTCTGGTGATGTGGGTCTTAGATTCAATCAGAGAGTGGTTGGTTACTCCCACGATGTCTGTGCCACTATTGGACATCTTGTGCCGGCAGGTTACTGTTATATATCAAGGGTTGGTGTTATCTTTCTTCTCTGGTAGTGCACAGAGTACCCTCCATGACACTAGTTAGTAGGGATGAAGACTCTACTTAGGCACCTACTAGAATTCTTTGTGTTTAATTATATAAAAAGTGTTATTTTAGTAAGGGGGCCTTACTTTCAGTTTATGGAGAGCAATCAATAGCCTTGGCAAAAGCCTCAGCTATTTGGGGGTTTCCATGGGGCTTCTTTGGTCAACAAATCAATAAGATGTAACCCATTACAAGCACTGGAAGTTTCTCTTGGTGATGTAAGATGCCTAGTTAGGGTTTTGTCTCTTCTGTTATTTGGTGATTCCACTTGGAGTTCTTTCATATATGTGTGTAATTTAAGAAGCTTCTATTGTAGAAGATTTCCATACGACCGCTTAAATGATCCTTAGTGTTCATTGTACTTCTCCATATTTCCACACTTACCCACCTCTTCCCAGCCACTCTCCTAATCCTCCCACGCCAGTCTCCCCACATATCTTCATAACAATATACCGCATTTCCTTTTCCTTGGGAGACCCTCCCCTCCCTCCTGAACCCCTCCCCTATACCTAAATGGTGTGGTTACATAGGTTGCAGCAAGTCAGTAAAAGACTGAAAAAACTAACACACACACACACACGGATATATATCATATTTGCCTTTTTTGGGTCTGGGTTACCTCACCCTGGATGATTCTTTCTAGTTTCACCCATTTACTGTGGATTTCAATATTTCATTTAAAAACTGAATAATAATCCATTGTCTAAACATGCCACCTCACTCCTCTACCAAACTTATCCAAGTCCCTGATCCCATCTCCAGCAGTCACCAGCATGCTGCCCATAAAAGCTATTCTATTTCCTCTTCCCAGGGGATTCATGTGCCCCCCCCATCTTCCTCCTTTCTACCTAACCACTCTGGGTCTACAGATTGTGATTTGGTTATCATTTACTTAATGTCTAATACCATCTTATAAGCAAATATTACCATATTTATCTTTCTGGGTCTGGGTTACCTTACTCTGAATGATTTTTTTCTACTTCCATCCATTTGCCTGCAAATTTCATGATGTAATTTTTTTAATAGCTGAAGTATACTCCATTGTGTAA